CGCCCCACGAGCCACAAGCCACTGCCCGCCTAGCGCTGGCCCTCGTAGCGGGGTCAGGAGACCCACCGGCGCTCTGGCAAGGGACTCTGCTTTTAAAAACCTGGCAGAGCCTCTCTGGGGGAGGGCTCCCCATTCCTAAGAATGGCCAGACGGGGTCAGTGTCCTGGCTGCCCACAGTGGCCAATAGCAGGTGCCCCAGAGGGAGGGAACACAACAGGGAATCCTCACGTGACCCCTCCTGTCACCCATTTCCAGACAAACACAGGCCAGGGACACCATTCCTACCCATTCCTAATAGCCATGGACAGACCTAACCTCCATGAATGTATCTAGCTGTTTTTTGAACTCTGTTAAAGTCCCAGCCTTCACCACATCCTCTGGCAAGGAGTTCCACAGGTTGGAAACACTGTAAGCAATGGCGAGAGATGCTTCCGTGGACCCCAGCCCCCCGGGCAGGGCTCCCAATTTGCTCAGCACTGGGGGGCATCAGGCACGGACAGGAGAGGGGCCTTGTGTAGCCAGGAGATAGGAGCAGTTAATGGAAGTGGGGGAGAGAAGGGCTGCGCGCCCAGGACACATGCCGGATCCCGCAAGGAGCCGCCTGGCGGGACTCGTCGGAGGTCTGACGCGGCACAAAGGGTCCTTTTTCAGCAGGCTACTCAGGAGAGACCCAGCAGCTGAGCCTGCCGAGCAGGTAACCGAGAGAGGCTCTGCCGGGTCTGTAACAGCAGCCCCCTCTTGCCAGAGTGCCCATGGGCCACTGGCCCCGGGGCACTGAGCTGCAGGGGAGCCTGCAGCAGGTGTACTCTGGGCTCAAGCAGGTGGAGACGTGGGCCAGGGAGGCTGGGAGCCCTCTGAGCCCCCAGCCCACCACTGCCGTCCACACCAGCAGTGCGCGAGCCCTGCCTTTCCGCAGGAGGGGAGCAGGCGCCTCCCTGTGGGCCCCCCCCCCCGCACCACAGCTCTGCTGCCCTCACAGCCGCCCCCGCCAAGGGGGCAGTAAGGGCCACGCCCGGGGGCAGCGAGGGCAGCTCCGTGGGAGGAACGCAGCACGAGTCTGCGCGGCCTGGGCCCGGGCTCCCTTCCTCCCTAGCCCCGTGTGACGTAGTGGGGGTACCTTGCTGGTTGTGAGGCTGGGGCTGTGAGTGACCCCCACTGGCTGCAGCGCGGCCCAGCAGGGCAGGGGATGAGTCATTACGCAAGGGGGCTCTGAACCTGTCTGACCAGTTATCTCCCAGGGAGCGGAACAATGGGAAGAAGGGGAGTGGAGCCCTGGCTGGGGGCAGGGCTGGAAGTGAGTGAGTTAGTGTCTGTCTGGGATCATGGAGGAGACAGCCAAAGGAAGGGGCTGGGATTTAGGGGCCCAGTCTCCCCTATCCCAAGGGGGGCTGAGGCATCCTAGGCCTGCCCTGTAACCAGATTCCATCTGTGCTGTATCCTGGAGGAGCAATAAACTCCCTCTGTTCTACTGGCTGGGGGAGTCTGTCCGTGCCATTACAGGGGTGCAGGAGGCAGGGAAACCCCAACGCGCCGTCACACCCAGTGACCGCCTGCCCCTCCCAGCCGCGGCGCGTGGGGCGGGGGGCACTGCAGCTCACGTGTGTCGACTGTCTCCTGGATGGGGATGAAGCCCACGGGCAGCGTGTCCTTGATGTCAATCAGCTTCATGTCGACCAGGACGTTGCCCAGATGGCTCTTGGGAGAGAGGAGAAACGCAGGAGACGGTGACACTCTGTAACAGGCTCCTGCCTTCCCTGGGCTCACGTTTCCTGGGAGGCAGGGGGCTTTCGGAGAGGCGGATACCAGGCTGTCTCCTGGATGGGGATGAAGCCCACGGGCAGCGTGTCCTTGATGTCAATCAGCTTCATGTCGACCAGGACGTTGCCCAGATGGCTCTTGGGAGAGAGGAGAAACGCAGGAGACGGTGACACTCTGTAACAGGCTCCTGCCTTCCCTGGGCTCACGTTTCCTGGGAGGCAGGGGGCTTTCGGAGAGGCGGATACCAGGCCCCGGCTACCAGCTCCTGACAGGCGGCGGGGCCGTCCCCGCGGCCCC